CATTTTCTAATCTTCACAATAATCTAAGAATCAACTATTATTATCCCCATTTTTATAGGAGGGAAAACTGGGTCAGAGAAATTGTCCTGTGGTAAGAAAAGAGAAAGTAACAAGACCAGGATTAGATCTAATTTCTGAGTCTGTATTCTTATCAAGTAATTTCTGTAACTTTGGCACATATGCAAAATGCAATGGTAAACTCATTGCCAAATGAAGTGGTTTGATGTATTTATTAAATCAGAAAAAGAAGTAAGTATTTAAATAATAAATTATTTTTAAGCAAAGGTTAAGTGGGAAATGAAGCTATCGGGGAAACAGAAAAGCCAGTTTTGTGCAGGATTTGTACGCCATGTTTGAATATTTAAACCTTGATTCCGTAGATAATCAGGAGCCATTGAAGGTTTCAAATACAGAAACGTGATCATTGCCTCCCTGGCATTGTAGCAGGATTTCTTTTCCTTTACTGCCCATAGTTCTCAGTCATGCTGCTTTGAAGAATGAAGAGGTAGACTAGACAAAAGTGGTGGGCAGCAAAGCAAAGTTTATTGAACCATAGTACAAAGCTCCCAAAGAGGGAGGAGGCTGGAGAGGGTTGCTGCTGAAGTTTCTAAGCCTAGGGGTTTTTATGGACTCATCAGCGGGTTGTTTTGATCTGATTAACCTTCGACACACCTGTCACCCAATGAAGTTTTTGTCATCTACCTATCACGTGGACAAAGGTGGAGGGCTCTTTCCAGGGTGGTGTAAAATCCTTTTAAGAGTTGTTTTCTCTTAAGGCAGGGGTGGGGGAGGGGTGGGGAAGGGGTGGAGGTGTCCCTCCCTACCATCCTTCTGACTCCCTCATTAGCTTAAAATCTATCTCAATAAACAAGTGAATGAATGAGATTTGTCTTTTGGAAAGACTGACTTGGTGGGTGACAGGGTGGAATATGGTTAGGAGATAAGATGAAATTGGCAAAACTACCTTAAGAGTTTGGGAAAAGATGTCAGAGCATTAACCAGTGGTATACAGGAGCTGGATGGTATTGGCCTGGAGAACCAATTATATATATAGGTATATATATATATATATACACCTTATATATAAACCATATATATATATATATGTGTATGTATAAATATAATACAAACATATTACTGGCCTGGACAAAAGCAACAGCAAATGGACTGGAGAAGAAGGAATACTTGCTAGAGTAGTTGATTGATGGGGGAGAAGTGTTGTCACCAGCTAGACCCCAAGACCTGAACTTTACTGTTTGCCTGCCTGCACCCACTCACCTTTGTCCCACGTTTTCCTTCCAATTTATCTCCTACCTCAGGCAAAAGACCCTAGGGCATAGCACCCTGAGAAGGAAACAGAAACTACTCCTTGATCTATGATAACAACTCTGGGCAGAGTTCAGCAGGCCTAGACCACCCAGACCAATTTGAGATTAACTCCTCTCACACCTGCTCAGTAGGCCATGGAGTGACCCATGGAGTGACTGACGGTTACTTTTACCTCATTATAATACTAAAATCTCCACCAGAGGAGGACCACAAGCCTCATTTGAGCCTCATTTACATAACATAAGGTTAAGGTACGTTTTCTTAAGGAGCATGTGCAACCTACCTTATCCCCACCTGTACAAACATTGACAAGCCTTCCCCAACTAAATATTCATCCTAACCCAAATAAAAGGAACCTGTTTAGTTTTGCTCAGAAAGTTATGGCTTTGAAATTTATTACCTATGATCTCCTTATTTGCTGCGAATAAAGTTTACTTAGTGTGACAACCACACTGGTGTAGTTTCTATCTGTGACTCACCAGAGAGCAAACTCCCAGTTGTTCAGTTACAGTTGTGGAGGCCGAGAAAAATCAAGGCCATTCCACCTCAAATTTAGCATTAGCACAAGTACAGCCATCTTAGGTCCCTGGGAATAAGAGCTGAACTTTACAGGAAAAACTGCAGAAGGTCCTCAGCAGGGAATCCCATATCAGAAAGACAACAGAGCCCAGGCCCATGGCAGAAAGTCCCATATTAGAATGAGAACAGAGCTCAATGCCCTTGAAAGCCCCAAATCATAATGTAAACAGAACTTGAGAAATTTCTCCACCCCTTCTGAAAATCCCCTAGACCAGCCTATAAAAAACCCAGCTGTAACCTACTTCTGGGTCTAAGTCCCTGCTCCGCTGTGTCGGGTATACGTGGACCCAAGCTCGAGCTTGTAAATAAACCCTGTGCGCTTGCATTGGTGTCGGCTCCTTGGTGGTTTCTCAGATTCACAATCTTGGGCACAACACAGTGGCAATGGGAGAGATTATAAAATGATTTATGAAATTATTAGCTTGGCTGATTGAAATGGGATACTGGTGTCTCTTCCCAGGAGGAGTTTGAAACAGGAGAAAGTGAATTCCTCTCAGGGAAAATTGAAGTATCTGTGAGACATGATGGTAAAGATGTCCAGAAAATAGTGGTTGTACAGACTTGGAACTAAAATGAGGTCTGGATTCAATATAAAATATAGGAATCATGAGGGTATAACTAATAGTTGAAGTCATGAGAGTAGATAAACTTTTAAAACAAAAAGTAACAACTCTGGGAAAGGTTGTGGCAAGTCATGTTTCATAAAGTAAATATATATAAATCATATGCCTTTTTGCTCCAAAACAGTTTGGGTAAGTAGGTAAGATTATAGTTTCTTTGCAAATGCTGCATTTGGAATAAAATAAAATTACACTGCAATGTAAGTGAATGTTAAGGATATTGGCATCTGGTGAAAACAAATATAGATCAGATTTATAAGACCTATACAGCAAGATTTATCAAAATGACACTTTATTTTTTTAAACAGTTTATTTTAGTGATAGAGGTCGTATGAGCAAGAGAGGCAGAGAGAAAGAGACTATGCTGAGTGTGGAGCCCAAGATATGGGAGAGCTGGTTCTTGTCTCATGGAGTCAAAGAATGAATCTCGCGGACACTGGAGAGTAGTAAAGTGATAGAAGTTTATTAAGTAAAGATACAGAGAAAGCTCTCAGAAGTGAGGGGTTCCCTACAGAGTTGCCACTGAGGGCTTGTAGGGTTAGTCTTTTATTGAAAGCCAACAAGGGAACCTAAATCCACTTAACATCTATCTCTATTGATATCACCATTGAGTAAGGACTAGTGATAACCTCTTTAATGGCTTACTTCCTTTTTAGGGTCCGGTATTTCTTTTTTGGTCACAAGTAGCTGTTATAACAAGACCCCACCTCTGGCACATGGGACAGGATGGTCTGGTTTATCTATCTCTGGTTTACTTTCAACTCCACATTTTTGGGATTTTTGTGAGCCTGATTCTGTGGCCCTCTGTCCTTAACTCACAGATATGGGGCTTGATCCCACGACTTTGAGATCATGACCTGAACTGAAACCAAGAGTCAGTTGCTTAACCAATTGTGCCACCCAGGCGCCCCTCAAAATGACACTTTAAAACAACAAAAAGATTTTTTAAATATCCAAAAGAAGTTTAACTTATCAAACATCTGAAAGAACAAAAACATTCTAGAAAATACAGAGAAATGAATTATATTAGAATTCAGGTAAAATGTAACTATAAGGTAGTGTATCCTATACTTACCTCTATCTTGGCAGTATATTTGATTTCTTTGCTTCTCTCATTAGACTTTACTGGGAGTGGGGAACTATTTTGTCTTTTACCTGAGTTTGGGGCCTTGTACATAGTTACAAAATCAGAAAAAACCCGTTTCTTCCATAAGATGGGAAGTTTGAACAGATGACCTGGAAGGTTCCTTTCAACCCTGAGAGCCTGAATAGGTGATAGAAAGAATAGAAAAAGATAGAAAAAGTGATAGTTGCTTACTTACTACTTAGAAGAAGTGGGCTTAGTCCTTTGTAGCAGCAAATGGCCAATGTTTCAAAGCCACAGAAAGGCAGATGACTCTCAGCTTAATATTACAGGGGTGAGAATTTTCAATTATTCAATTAAGAGTTAATAACTATAGCTACCCAACAGAGGCTGTTTCAGGAGGTGGCTATCTTGGAAATAACTGGAATGTAAAAGCTGATCCTTAGATACTTTTAGTTTAGGTCTTCCCAGTCTTTTTCATGCTATTGCCTGCACAGAAAATGTTGTACAGCGTATCAATCAATATTTCAAGGCATATTTGTCACACGTTCTCAGGACTTTGGCAAAACTATAGTCCAACATCCTCACCTGAATCTTAGAGAGGGGATGCAATATTTCGGGATCAAACTTTAACGTTAAGGCTGGGTCTAGAGTCTCTGCACAACTAAACAGCCGAAGTCTCCTCCCCACAAATTACGCAGGGTTGGATGTCAGGCTTGAAGACTGAGTCTGGGAGAGTTGCCGTGGATGGGGGGCCAGTCGAGATCAGGATTGCTTTAAATGTGGTCCCATGACCACTGGCATCAGAACTTGTTAAACCGTGAGGAACTTGTTGAAAACAGACTCATGGGCCTCACACACACAGACCAGGCCCTGCGGCAAGGCAAGGACATCTGCACTTGTAGGTCTGAAAGCACGCACCGCTTGCCACTCGCCTACGCCCGCCCCAGTAGTACTTCTGCACTCCTGAGCTCCAGCTGCGCCTTGAACTGCGCGGCTCTGCTCTTCCCGCGACAACCCGCCAGCCTGACCTCGGAGTAGCGCGGGCGGCGCAGTTACCCCGCGTCCTCGCAGTGAAATTGTCTGTTACGTACTAGCCCTTTCGGTCGTCACAGGCGGACGCCAGCCAGCACTGCCTTATCGGGGTGAGACCCCCGCAGTGCCTCCATCAGCTTCCCGGCCCCGCGGAGGAACCGACTGCGGAGGGGTGGGGGCCGGGATCAGAGGCGGCTCAGCTGCGCCCCTTCGAGGCCAGGACCCTCCGCAGGCGAGCCGGGTCGCGGTTTCCCTTCTCCGCTCCCGAGCTCCTCCTCCTTTGCAGCCCCGCCCACCGGGGAAGCCGCTACGGCGCCTGCGTCAACTCTGCCTTGCCCCGCCCCCGACTACCAACCGGATGTTAGCGGATTTCCCATGGTGCCTCGCTAGTGGCGGGCATGAGAGGAAACTGCAGAGGGTCGCCAGCGGGTTCTAGTGTTCATTGTTGGAGTTGTTCTCTCGGCGCCGCGGGGCTCTACGAGATTGGCGCTCGGTCGCTGCGTCGTAGGCTGGTGCAATGGCGCTTTTCCGGGGCGTGTGGAGCGTGCTGAGTGCCCTGGGAAAGTCCGGAGCGGACCTCTGCGCGGGCTGTGGAAGTCGACTGCGCTCTCCTTTCAGGTAGGACCGCTCGCCTGCCACCTCGGGAGGTGGCGCGCCCAGGACGCCCTGGGGTTGGAGTGTGTACGTTTTGTCCCTCCTAGGAGGTCTAGGCCCTTTGATTTAGACCTCGACTTTGCCAGGGTGGCTTTGAGACCAGGCCTCACTCCAGTAGTCTTTCCCGCCCCTCTCCGCCGTCCCCCCCTCCTCCCCGTCCCACTGCACTGTCCAACCTTGTAGCACCGGTTCGGAGCTTTCTGCGAAGTCGCGCCAAGACTCTCCCGCCATCAGTACGGGCGTTAAGGAGGCAGGGCCCAGGAGCTGAAGTATACGTGCTCTCCTCCACTTTGCCCTTCCGAGGAGGCGTAGATAAGAGCTTTGATGCTTCAGTTTTGCAGGTCTTCCTTCTAGTTAGGACAGGGTTTTAAATGTTACTAACACGGTGTCATTGTAGCATCTTGATGACATCTCATCTGGGATCTGTGTTCATATACAAATGAATATTGGTACTTAAATACTTGATCTCGGTTGTTTTCTTTGTACCTAGTTTTGCGTATGTACCAAGATGTTTTTCATCCACCGCGAATTGTTACCCAAAGAAGCCTCTGACTTCATACGTTCGATTTTCTAAAGAACAGCTACCCATATTTAAAGCTCAGAACCCAGGTAAGGAGTTTTGGAGCATTTACTCTTTTCTGAAGTGATAAAGAGGTCACTAAGCAGTTAAACTTCAAACTTGATACGCATTTTCAAAGCATCCGGTGACTGCGGAAACATAACCATTACTTTTATGGTACGTAAGATAGGAAGTATGACATTTTTTACCAAGTAGAAATCCCTTTAAAATAATTGAGAGCTTATGGAAGATATTTTATCTTCTTTTTAAATTACCGTATATATTTTTTATTGAAGTATAGTTGACGCACAGTATTAACGTTAGTTTCAGATGTACAACAGTGATTCTTAGTGATTCTACAGCTTTCTACATTATGCTGTGCTCACAAGTGTAGCTACCATCAGTCACCATACAACGCTGTTACAGTATCATTGACTTTATCCTTCTGACTTATTTAATGGAAAGTATTTTAGAAATAGCAGTATGTGGAGTGGAAAGCTCCCACGGAAAAGGCTGGAAAAACTGAATTTTGAGGATCTAGTTGCCATTAGCCTGGAGGACCATTGATGAATCATTTTCTCTCTCAGCTCTTGCTTCAGGGAATTGTTAATGGAGTTGCAATGAAATAACTTATGTGGATATGTTTTGTAAACTAAAGCTGTAAACAAATTGCTGCTAATTTTAAGAGTTTTTTCACTGTAAATTGGTTGCATTCCTGAAAAAAAAGAAAGATTTTCAGGTAGGATGTTTGTTGGCTCCATAGAAGGGCTGTGGGCCTTCATTTGGGGCTATAGTGGTATAAAGATAGTAACTAAATTAATAATAGTCAACTTTGTTTATGATTTCTAAAGCTCTTTCATGGGGCACTTGTGAAAACCAAATGAGCTGTAATGAAAATTCTCACATTATAAAAAACTGGTTTAAGAGACATGTTTTAGTAATACATTTTTAAAATTTGGTAGTTCAAACTTAGTGGTTTGTTAAAATGTTTACATACATCCCCGGCATTCCAATTAAGATGAGGAAGGAAATGGGGAAGAATGAATTGATTTTAGAATAGTTTGTTTGCAAGTAGTAATTCTGTAATTGAAATACAAGATGTTACATGAATCAAAACTGTATTTTACTGTTTAGTCAGGTTTTATAAACTTAATAATTCTTGAAAGACTGGGAAAAAAGTTTTGTTTGAAATAAAAAGCAAAGAGCTTGAAGAAGTTGATTACCCAACTGCTTAAACAAATAATTTTTGATGACTATTTGGTGGGTATGTGATATACTTCTTACTGTTTAGATAACAGATTTTAAGAATGTTTGATAAAATATGAATTATCATATTTAAATTAGTTGGTTAAAGAAAACCTAAATCATTGTATTAAGTTGTGTGTGGTATAGAGGCATCTGTAATAGAACTTAGAGCTAATGGATTATGCTTTCCTAGAAGTCTTTAGAAGTTAATCCTGAGACAAAATTGTGACCTTTTTCATTTTATTCCAATCTGTAGATGCAAAAAATTCAGAACTAATTAGAAAAATCGCCCAACTTTGGAGGGAACTTCCTGAATCAGAGAAAAAAGTAAGCATATTGGTTTTCAGCATTGCTGACTAACTATTCTGCAGTTAAGAACAATAGTCATGTCCTTTGAGGGATCAAAACAAATTTTTTTTAACACCCATTATCTCTAAAGGAACTTCACACCTTCAGATTCACATAAATGATTAGAATATGGATATATGGCAGTGGTGACGGAGGGTTTGGCAGCAATCTGAAATTGAAGACTAATTGTTAAACTCTCGCCTTTGGCTAGCATGTATGTGAAAGATACATGTTTTTAATCCATATACATATGATTCCAGAGCACGTTTTCCACTTGGAGTTTCAGTCTATCTTTATATGAAGTCATGCAGTTGTCTTTCCCTGGCAGGTGTGCTATTATGTACTACTATCAGCAGTAGTTTATTGACTTCTTATTTGAGTTTTTTGTTTATAGATCTATGAAGATGCTTACAGGGCAGACTGGCAGGCATACAAAGAAGAGATAAACAGAATTCAAGAACAGTTAACTCCAAGTCAGATCATGTCTTTGGAAAAAGAAATCCTGCAAAAACGTCTAAAAAAGAAAGCATTAATAAAAAAAAGAGTGAGTATCAATGAAATATTCTTCTCCTTTGGCAAAGGACTCAAATTTATATAAGTATGAATAGGCGAGTTTTTCTTATTTTGATATATATCCCTAAATGGTAGAATGTCATAAGGCATATTCCATTTAGGAAATAACGACATAATTCTTTTTTGCCACTAGTACTAGTTGGCGTTGAGTCTGTCTTTGAAACCCTTGTTACTACTTTCAGATGTATCTGAATTTAAGATACGTAGTTAGGACTAGTATGAAAGCTGTATGAACAGAGTCAGGAAACAGCCAAATCAGGAGTAACAAGAATCTTTTCTTCTGGGTCTTGTCTAGAATAACCTACTGATTTGAATTGTTTTATAAGTAATGGTGAGTTTTATTCTGAATGTTGAATAGACTGAATTCATTAACGCATCAGAGAGAAGTGACTTATTGAATCTAGTCGAGGAAAAAGTACCTATAAGATGAAATTCTATTTTTCCTTACTAAAAACCCCACATGGTTCAAATTTGTAATTCCCAGCTTAAGGTTATTAATCAACATAAATTCTATTGCTTGATAGACTACATTTTTGTATGGAACCAGTGTTAGGTATGAGGTGGTCAGCTTGCTGGTCTAGTACTTAAACTATAGAAGATGGTCATAAGAGGCACATGGGTGGCTCAGGTCATGATCTCCAGGTCTGGGATCAAGCACTGCATCGATCGGGCTCCTGGCTCATTGGGGAGTCAGTTTCTCCCTCTCCCTCAGCCTCTCCCCCTGTTCATGCTTTCTTTCTCTGTCTTGAATGTATAAATAAAATCTTTAAGAAAAAGAAAGAAAATGGTCATTAGCGTTAAAAACTATGTCTTTAGAAAAATAGATTTGAGAGTTTAATGTGATGCCAACATTTCTCTCCCTGACTCTAATGTCAAGTCCTCCTAGCACCAGAGTTGAGGACTCACCCATTTTATAGTAGGTAACCTAGATAGTCATCTAGTCTTCTGATTCAGTTGGTAGAAGGAAGCCAGGAAAGATAATAACAGAAATAGTGTCTGCTTAGGGATGGTATTTGGAGGTGTGAGTATTAAAGTTTATTCTCCCTCTTTTATTTTCCCTTCCTCTTTAATGCATCCATTCAGTGTTAAGAGTGGGAAGGACCAGAAATGAGGATTGGGAGGTGATACAGGATTTCCTTTCGTATGTTTCTTTGTTCCTTTTTCTTCTTGTCTTCATATTCTATTCTATTCTATTTATTTATTTATTTATTTATTGTTTGTTATTTATTTATTTATTTATTTTTAAAGATTTTATTTACTTATTTAAGAGCGAGAGTGTGAGAGACCATGAACAGGGGAAGGTGCAGAGGAAGACTCCTGGCAGGAGCAGGGAGCCTGATGCGGGGTTCGATCCCAGGACCCTGGGATCATGACCTGAGCCAAAGGCAGATGCTTAACTGACTGAGCCACCCAGGCACCCCTATTTTTCAAACAGATACTGTACTTCGCTCTCCACTCACCAAAAGGCTTCTTCACCAGCTGAAGTCCTACATCTCCTCTGCTGCAGGTTCAGCCTTACCTCTTTCATGGAGTAAACTGCTATACTGTTTCTTCTTTTAGCTTTCTCACTTTTTAGCTCTGCAGAGGTTAGCACTTATTTTTTTTTTTTTTCCTCTGATACTTTCTTCCTGGCCCTGAATCTGCTAAGTATAGGAATCCCATACCTGTACTGATTCCCCAGGATACTCAGTACTAGGCCACTGATTGCTGGGACTGTATATAAGTATCAGAAGTAACAAATACACTGGAATTAAAATGAAATCACTGTGTTTTATATTCCCTGTGGATAAAACTGATTCTTGCATTTAAAACATAGGTTAAAGCCATTCATTCATTCATTCATTCATTTATTGTTCTTAAAGATTTTATTTAATTATTTGACAGAGAAAGCACAAGCAGGGAGAGCAGAAAAGGGAGAAGCAGGTTCCCCAGTGAGCAGAGAGCCCAATGCAGGGCTTGATTCCTGGATCCTGAGATCATGACCTGAGCCGAAGGCAGTTGCTTCACTGACTCATCCACCCAGGCACCCCTGCCTTTTATTTCCTTTAAAGATTTATTTATTTAGTTGAGAGAGAGAGAGAAAGAGCACATGTGAATCAGTGGGAGGGCAGGCAGAGGGAGAGAAACTCAAGCAGACTCAATGCTGAGTGTGGAGCGTGATGCGGGGCTCTATTCCATGACCCAGAGATCCTGACCTGAGCCGAAATTAGAAGTCAGATGCTCAACCTTATTAAATAGGTAGTCTAGTATTCATGAGTTCTGGTAGAGGCATGTAGTGACCTGGAGATGGTAGTGTCCTGTAAGGATGAAGCTGAGATTGTTTTAACCTTTAAAAAAGATTTTGTACATATATGCTTAGTTATTCCATTTGTGGAGACCATGAAAATAATATGTAAAGGAAGTGTTTTTATATGGAAAAGAACTCCTAAAATCTGTTACAATTCTCAAACCTTGGTGCTATCAAAAAAATTCTCATCCTAAGAATGAACAGGTAGTTTGTATAAGAATCATAACACTGACTTACAGAAACTTTCCATAATGCATAGTAGTGAATAAAGTTTCTGTAGGTAAAGTTAAGTCTCACAGAAATTAAAACTCTTAACTCTTCCATTTTTGTTACTCAGGAGTTAACAATGCTTGGAAAACCGAAAAGACCTCGCTCAGCTTATAACATTTTTATAGCTGAAAGGTTCCAGGAAACTAAGGATGGTACATCACAGGTAAAACAGAACCCCATTTGTTTTTAAATATTTGCTTATTTTGATTTTTAAAATATTTAGACAGTTGTAGGGATGGCATATGTTAGGAGGTAAAGAACAGTAGTAAATTATTATAAATAAGTACTTTATACAAATAAGGGTCCTCTTTCTTGTATCTCTTTTAAAGGAAAACCCTTTTTCTTTCCACATACAATTAATTTGAGTACTTAGTGGCCAATATATGTATAGGCAATTTTAAAAAATTTAAATAACATTTTCAAATTGAAAAAGTTCTGGAGACTTCTTATCTGGCAATTCTTAACTATTTTGTAATCACTGGGAAAGAATGAGTAGAGTAACAGTGTTTTATACTGAGATTTGAATATAACATTGCTTCATATTATATTCTTTAATAAAATTTCGGTGATGCCCATGGGCATGTACTATACACATGAATACCATCATATGAATGTGTCAAAATAAAAAGCTTGTCATTCCTGCTGTGACTTATTCTTTATTTCCTCCTTAGAAGCTTCAAATGGGCAATCGTATTTTTCTTTTATAATATGATAGGTAAGAAAAGCGTTCAGATCCCTATCCGTAATTCTTTTATCAATCTGAGATGAAGGCTTTTGCCAATCTGCCACATTTTGTGTTATTTGGATCTGTAGTTAATTTCTCAAGTCTGTTGAACATTCGATTAATGTATATGTGACACAGACTTCCCTGGCTATATACTTTCACTGATTTATTCCTTGGGATTTTATTTTTTTAAAGGTTTGTTTATTCTAGAGAGTGCATGAGGGGAGGGACAGAGGGAAGGGGGGAGTAGGGAGCCTGACATGGGGCTCAGTCCCAGGACCCTGAGATTATGACCTGAGCTGAAATCAAGAGCCAGATGCTTAACCATTTGAGCAACCCAGGTACCCTACTCCTTGGGATTTTAAAATTGGCTTCTATGGCTTTACACTACTAAAATACATGCCTGTTTATTTTCTTAGTTGGAATTTGCTCAGTCACTGACTTACTTTGGATTTTTTTTTTTAAGATTTTATTTATTTGAGAGAGAGAGAACAGAGCGAGTGAGCAAGGGAATGTGTGTGCATGAGTGGGGAGGGAGGGGCAGAGGGAGAGGCCCCCCCCCTTCCCTGCCATGTGGGGCTCCATCCCAGGACCCTGGGATCATGACCCGAGCTGAAGGCAGACATTTAACTGACTGAACCACCGAGGCGCCCCAGGATTTAGTTTTCTTACCAGTATAAGAAAGTTAAATGCTAGAGAACTCTTCTAAATCTGTAGTTCTCAACTCAGACGACTGCACCTTAGAATCACTCAGAAAGCTTAATGGCTGAGGGACTCTATCCTGGGAAATTAAAATTAATGCAATTGTCATTTTTAATCATTTAAAAAATAGTGGTTATACATCCTCACAGTTAAAAGAATCAAAATAAGACTTGTTATGAAAGGGACCAGTTTTCATAGCCCTGTCATACTGCTTACTCCAGAAGCAGAACCCTTTCACTGTTACCTCATTCTTGTGGTATTTACCTCCATATTTCTAAATAATACCTTATATTGTTACTTCTTGATTTTTTCCAATTTGAAGCATTATCTATATTTTAGGTATTACCTCCCACTATTTAAGACCAACATTTAATACTTCCTCATCCCATTGTTCATGTCTCCACTCCCCTGCCTCCCAGTATAGTTATAATTTTGGTTAGGTCAGTATCTACTATGTTGTTGTGATTATGTAAATGTTAGTCATAGTAAGCTGTGCCATTTGCTATGATTATTTTTCCTTTTTTACAAAACTCATTCCTACCGAAGTTCATTATATTTTGTGTTTCTGTTTCCTTAGCTTTTTATATACTATCAGTAGTTTAGCTTTAAACTCTTAGGTGTTCACCAGCTTTCAATGCATTTAGATGCATTCACTATTCTGTTGGTTTCAGTGTGAAGCTCTGATTTGTTCCAGTTTGGTTGTGGCCTTTTATGCTTAGTGCACAGTTGACACTCGCTTTTGCTTCTTCTGTTGTCTTTCTTGGTTTACTGATTCTGTTATAGCATCTCCCCAGTGAGAGTACATGGGAGATCAGGTTTTTTTTGACTTTTTGCATGTCTGAAAAAATCTCTATCCTTACATTTGTTTGCTAGTTTGGGCACAGAATTCTAGGGTAGGAATCATGTTCTTTCAAAATTTTAAAAATATACCTTCTTCTCTTGTAGCTTCCTGGTATTGCTTTTGAGAAATATAAAACAGTTTTGACTGTTAGAATGTGATCTCCTTTCTTTTTTCTTCCCTTCCCCCCTTTTTTTCCTCTGTTCTAAAAGAGAGTCTTCTGAGCTGGTCCTCTCATTTTCCTTTCTGTATTGCTTTCTTGTAGCTTCTTTTGCTTTTCTTTCTGGGATACTGTATATATTTTTACTTAATCTCCTCGTTTTCAGTATGGCACCACTGGCTCCAGCTATACCTGGGAACCACAGAATAGCTCTATTTTGCCCTTTTGAGAGGATAAATCCTAGAATCTGCCCATGGTGGGGATTTAATCTCCTTTTCAAGTGAATTTCAGTCGTCTCCTATTTTAAGTCCAACTTTCACCTCTGTTCTTATCTGATGCTGCCAATTCCTGAGCTTTTTGGGAATTCTGCATTATAGACCGGTTTGCTTTTTTGGCTTTCCCCAATGCCAGCTTGGGAATCTGCCTTACTGGTTAGGTAAGTCAGTTACCATTTCTCCACCTGGCTTTCAGCTTCTAAAATTTTGTGTTGGTAGTGCTCTTTCCTGTTGTTTTGTCCATGTAGGCTTATGCCATTAAAAATGTTTATTCGTTTATTTTTCTTAAAAAAATGAGCAGTAGAAATGTATTGCCACAGTTCTGGAGGCTGGGAAGTTTAAGATCAAGGCATCATAATTGTTGCCTACTGGTGAGATCTTTCTTGGTTCATAGCTGGTACCATCTCACTGTGTCCTCACATGATGGACACATGATGTTTAATAGCTTTTAGGAGTAAACATCTTTCTGTCTCTTTAATTTTCTTTAATGGATTATTTTATTTAGGTGAGAGCTCAGATCATTTAGGGATAGAGCTTCGTAAATTATTGTTTAATTCAGTGAATATAAAACTTTATGGATTAAATATAAATAAGGGATCCCTGGGTGGCGCAGCGGTTTGGCGCCTGCCTTTGGCCCAGGGCGCGATCCTGGAGACCCGGGATCGAATCCCACGTCGGGCTCCCTGTGCATGGAGCCTGCTTCTCCCTCTGCCTGTGTCTCTGCCTCTCTCTCTCTCTGTATGACTATCGTAAAAATAAAAAAAAAAAATTAAAAAAAAATTAAAAAAAAAAAAAATAAATATAAATAAAAAGTTAGAGAAAGACTTGAGCATTTTTTTTTAAAGATTTATTTATTTATTTATGATAGACAGAGAGAGAGAGAGAGGCAGAGACACAGGAGGAGGAAGAAGCAGGCTCCATGCCGGGAGCCCGACACGGGACTCCAGGACCGCACCCTGGGCCAAAGGCAGGCGCTAAACCACTGAGCCACCCAGGGATCCCCAAGACTTGAGAGCATTAAAGCAATTCCTTCCAGAGCTAACAGAGCAATTATTTAATGAGCAACTTTCCTGGAGTATATTAGATGTGTTTATAAAAGTAAGTTTTAAAATGTTCAAAAGGTAGTGGTTATGTAGTCTCATACTCTCTGGTACCTCCATTTTTGTTGATGGAAGAAATTTAGGGTTCAGAACAGTAAAGTTCATTATTCTCATTCTGCTTCTCCTTCAAATCACTGATGATTTTCTCTTGGCTTTAAACAGTTACTTTTCAGACCGTTTTCCCTCTTTCCTTCACACTTGCCTTCTGCCCCTCTGTGTCTCCCTTTGTCCCTCATTCTCTACCCATTCATTTATTTCTTCAGTTTCTGCTTTCTGGGAGCAAGAGCACAAGGTATATGAGGGGTGCTGACTCTTTTCTCTCTGCCTCTCCTCCAGCCATGGGTTCCCTGAATCCCTTTATTTTATAAATGAAGAACCAAGCCTAAGGGAGGTAATAATGACTTTTTCCAAGTCATAAAATTAAGTTCAGCTAAGTAGAATTAAGAACTAGTGTTGTATTGTTCCTATGGCTACATTTAAATACTTTGGCACAAATTTTAGAATAAAACATTAAAATACAGGGAAGAAATAAAAACAGTCTTTGGGGACGACTGGGTGGCTCAGCGGTTGAGCATCAGCCTTTGGCTCTTGGGATCCAGGATTGAGTCCTGCATCGGGCTCCCTGCGGGAAGCCTGTTTCTCCCTCTGCATATGTCTTTGTCTCTCTCCCTGTGTCTTTCATGAATAAATAAATAAATCTTAAAAAAAAAGAAAAATGTAGTCTTTGAAGTTAGTCTACCCTAGGAATTTAGGTTTATACTTAAATATTAATATTGCTGAGTCAAAAAAGATATATCCACACAGCAAAGGAAGCCATTAACAAAATGAAAAGGCAACCTAGGGGGATCCCTGGGTGGTGCAGCGGTTTGGTGCCTGCCTTTGGCCCAGGGCGCGATCCTGGAGACCCGGGATCGAATCCCACGTTGGGCTCCCGGTGCATGGAGCCTGCTTCTCTCTCTGCCTGTGTCTCTGGCTCTCTCTCTCTCTCTGTGACTATCATAAATAAATAAAAAAATTAAAAAAAAAAAAAAAGGCAACCTACTGAATGAGAGAAAAATATTTGAAAATCATATATCTGATAAGGGCTTAATATCTAATATATGTAAAGGACTTGTACAACCCAACTGAAAAATGAGGAGAGAATCTGAATAAATATTTTTCCAAAGATGACCTACAGATGGCTAACGGGCAGGTTCAGCATCGGTAATGATCAGGGAAATGCAAATCAAAACCACAATGAGATATCACCTCACACCTGTTAGAATGTCTATTATCAGAAAGATGAAAAAATAATGAGTGTTGGCAATGATGCTGAGAAAAGGGAACCCTTGTACATGTTTCATGGAAATGTAAATTGTAGCTCACTATAGAAATCGTATGGAGGTACCTCAGAAAATTAATAGAATTACCGTATGATCCAACTATTCTACTTCTGGATATTTATCCAAAGTAACCAAAAACAGTAACTCAGAAAAATAGCTACACCCCCATGTTCATTGGGCATTATTTACAATAATCAAGACATGGAAGCAATCCAACTGTCTATCGATGAATAAATGGATAAAGAAACTATGGTGTGTATATACAAATATACAGTGGAATATTTAGCCATCAAAAAGAATGAAATCTTCCTATTTGCAATGGCACAGATGGCCCTTAAGGGCATTATCCTAAGTGAAATAAATCAGAAACAGACAAATACTGTATGATCTCTCGTATTTGGAATCTTGAAAACAACCACAAAACAACCAAGTTCGTATATACAGAAAATGAATTGGTGCTGGCCAGATTTTGGGATTGGGGCTCAAAATGGGTGAGAATGGTCAAAGGACACACACTTCTAATTTTAAATAAGTCTTGAGAATGTAGTGTACAGCATGGTGACTATAGTTAATAATACCATATTGCATATTTTATTTTTTAAAAGATTTATTTATTCATGAGAGACAGAGAGAGAGAGAGACAGAGACATAGGTAGAGGGAGAAGCAGGCTCCTCTCAGGGAGCCTGATGCGGGACTGGATCCCGGATCCTGGGATCATGCCCTGAGCTGAAGGTAGATGCTCAACCGCTGAGCCACCCAGGCATCCCTGTATTGCATATTTTATTTTATTTTTTGATTTTATTCATTTATTCATGAGAGACACAGAGAGAAAGAGGCAGACACAGGCAGAGGGAGAAGCAGGCTCCATGCAGGGAACCCAATGTGGAACTTAATCCCGGGTCTTCAGGATCATGCCCTGGGCCAAAGGTGGCGCTAAACCGCTGAGCCACCCAGGCTGCCCTGTATTGCATATTTTAGTTACCTGGAATAGATCTTAAAAATTCTCATAAAAACTTTTGTAACTATTTTATTATGACAGATGTTAACTTATGGTGGTGATCATTTCACAGTATTTACAAATAAATAATCAGGTTTACACCTGAAACTAATAAAATGTTACATGTTGATTTTATCTCAATAAAAAAGATAAATATCCTTATCTCAGTCATTTTTTCTATGTTTTAACAGTTTAGTAGTTTTTATTTAGAAAGTTAAGGCTGATGAGAATTTGTGATTATTGATATCTGAGATTTTACAATGATTTTAGAATGGATAATAGTAAAAACTTTAACCACTGAAGTTTCTGTATCTGGTGCTTAAAACATATGTTTTACAGGTAAAGCTGAAGACTATAAATGAAAACTGGAAAAATCTCTCTAGTTCTCAAAAGCAAGTAAGTATGGTTTTAGTTTCTAGTGTCTAGTTAGAATACCTGTGAGGAAATATACTAGGGCAAGGCTTGATTTATGTGAAAACAAGTACCAAGTAATGGTACTTGGTACCATTAGTAACACAGTTAAAGTATTTTAATATTATTTTTATATCCTTAGAAATAGTTTGGCTAGTTTTTAACTGCGAATAAAATTGGTATTTAAAACAATGTCACTCATAACTTAGTGTTCACTCTACTCAGTAAAGATTACTCCTTGCCTCTTCTCCTTTCCCATATCCCAAGCCCTAAAATTTTACCAACTTTATTAATTCATAAAAAAATCTTTATCTCTGGCCCTTTTCGCATCTTTTATCTCAAAAAAACATTCTTCAGTCCCTTTTTATACATGTAGAACAGTAAGGTGATTTCTAGAGTATATGGAACATTCCATATATTAATTGTAAAGGATTCTTCTAAAGAAATCATTTTAACAGTCACACTTTTTCTCAGGTATATATCCAACTTGCTAATGATGATAAAATTCGTTATTATAATGAAATGAAATCTTGGGAAGAACAGATGTTGGAAGTCGGACGAAATGATCTTCTACGTCGCTCAGTAAAGCACCAAGGAAAAGATGACACTGAGGAGAATTAAAATAGAAGATTGAGTTATGTTCTTAATGGATAGACATAAGACACCAATTAGGTCTCAGTACCTGACGCTGTTGAAAATTAGAAAGGATAAAGTTGGTGGACATTTTATATTTAATTCCTTTTTCTTTAGCCCATGGACTTCTGTCAGTTCAGTTCATTTTGTATTAGTATCTTGCTTTGGAAAACCCAAACAGATAAAAGTTCATGCAAAATGTATTTTGTGTTAAGGAACTACTGAGGATCAAAATAATCCATGAAATGTAGCAGTGAATCATTTTACCTTTGATAAAGGTAAATCAGACTGTGAAGTTTTTTTTATACTTGATGACTGGAAAGAGTATTCTTGTTTCCTTATATGTATGGAGGCAGGAGTTTCATATTCAAAACTGTCCCAAATTGTAGAAGTCATAGTGTTCTGTGATATAATTGTACATTTTAAAAGAGCACCCACAACTCCTCTAGGTAAATTCCAATTCCTAGGTATAATTCATATATTCAGAGTTGATGGTTGTACATGCAAGGAATTGCTGATTTCAGTTGCAATTTTTTATAAAAGGGAGAAATTTATAAACCTTTTCCTCATTGTCTTAAAGTACAAACCAAGAAATTATGTACCAAATCTATGCATATTGTTTTATACTGCATAGAATAAAAATTTTAAACGTTTCCTAATTATATGTTTTAAGGTGAAACATTCATTTTGCAGATTTTGTTTTTTTTTTTAAGTAGAGATATGTATTCTGAATTATTTTCTCTTTTTCATGTGAGTATATTTATCCAGAAAGTAGATAACTTGTCTGGTATAAGCTTTAAAATGAGAGATCTAAAAAACAAAAGTCTTTGAGGACTTGGAATTTAAGCGTTTTTGTCCATACAAGGCACAGCCAGTTCTGGCCTATGAACCAAATCCAGCCCATTGCCTGCTTTTCATGGCCTGTAGGCTAAGGATTGTGTACAATTTTAAGTAATTAAAAAGAAAGCATATTTTAAGAAAATTAACCCGCAATTCTGTGTCCATAAATAAAGTTTTATTGGAACACAGTTATACTTTCTCTTTTACTCATGATTTGTAGTTGCTTTTGTACAACAGTGATAGTTGAGTATTGTTTCAGAGACTACATCTTTACAAAACCTAAAATAATTACTATCTGACCCTTTACAAAGAAAGTTTGTCAGCCTGTGGTCTATAGTATAGAGTAGTATGACTAGTGTTCCAATGTATAAATGTGTTGGGATAGTTCTTTAAAACTCAAGAGATTCTTGTTTTAGGATCTTTGTCACCATTAGCTTAAGAGGAAAGAAGTCAAACCACTGAAGAAGCTAAGCAAACTTGCTCCACAGTGTTAGCAAGGAAAATTATCTTTAGTTTCAAATTACATTGCAGTATAATTTAAAAAAGGTCCCTCCAGCCTGGAATGAGATTCTTTTAAAAGTATTTGCTATGGCTTAGTGATATGAACTTTAAGAATTTTCCAGTTAGCACGTATCACAAAACCCTTATCAACTATTAGCATTTGTTTATCCTCTTAAGAGAGTCAAGTAAAGGTTTTCAAAATCCATACCACCTTTTTGATGAAAATCATTCATCTTTCATCATGAGTTCATAGGAACAGGATAACTCAAAATTTGTATGTGCTTTATATTAAGATCAAGAAATGGTAGGTAGCCTCTAAATTTCCAGAAGACCTTCAAAGATTTTTGTTGTTTCTGGTTAGAAAATCAGTAAGAAGTCACAAAAAAGGTGACTTGTTATGTATACTGAGTTTGATGTATACTGAGCTTGACAAAGGTAGGGACTGAAAAGAAAAATATAATGAGGGAGAATAAGATTTAAATGTATAAAATTGGGTGTTTTCAAACAACTGTCCCCTGTGGTTACAAATACAGGACAGTCTGCCATTAGTTAAATAGATAGACTATGAAAACAAAATATATATACTACGGTTCTAAGGCTAGAGTATTTTGGGGAAGAAGAGGAGGTACGCTATTGTGTATCAGTCTTTCTTATTTGGATTTCCGGGAGAGAATTAAGCCCTAACTCCCTGAGGCATCTAGAATGATACTGATTATATACCACCTTTAGGAGAGTGGAGAAAGTCATCAGTCAAATAATTTACTGTGTCCTGTACTTCAAATGAGCCCAGGGAGCACATGGGAGTCAATGCTGGTAGTGAATATTATAGAATGAGTGAGATAGAGAAAGGAATTTTGTAAATACTTGACAAATGTACAAAACACATCTTTGCAATTACATTCTAAGCTCTTGTAGCATTTTACCTATGTATGCTATTTTATACTGAACACATTTAACACATTCAAAATAAATCTTCCTAAATATATTGGGAGGTTCACTATCTAGTAAGTTCTCAGGTATTTTACCCTCATATAGGAAGAAAAAGTATGGAATAATGGAAAGAGCTAGAGCAGAACAAGATTTTGATAATACCAAATTTTATTAGGTTTGCTTTGTTTCTAAAAGAATGTTACTGTTCATACTTTAAATATTAGAATAATCTTATCCCACACATTTGTTAATAAACTTTAGTACATGCTGAATACTAGTATGCCAAATGCCAAATGCCACCTAGGTGAACAATATACAGTTTCTCTTAAAAAGAACAAGCACTTACATCGGTAACCAGTGGCCACTCACATAAAGCCTTTTTAGACTTAAGTTGCCCCAACAAAGTAATTGCTATAGGAAGTACAGAAGAGTTTTAGAGAGAAAGATGCTGAAGAAACGAAACAGTAGTGTTTATATTGTTCTAAGCAGTTCATCATAAAGAGATTTTTGTACTTTTGTTCATAGGAGTACCAAAATTAGGTTTTAAAAATAATTTGATGACAATAGAGAACTGTGATTATTTTACTTTCTGACATTTACTCAAAGGATATCGTGTGCACAGTCAGCCTACTCTAATCATGTAATTTTGCTATTGTTTTTGGCTAACTCCTTTCTTCGAAATGCCATTTTAAGAATAAGGGATATGTTTTTATGGTTGCTCTGAATGTCTATATTTAAATTTGTGTATTAAAAGGGTATTACCATACGTGGATTTAAAGTCACTAGAAAATTTTATTTTCCTGAGATTTGCTGTACCTAAAATAATCACCACCAGGTTGTGCTAAAACATCATGAAGTTTTTATATAGTTAACTGATGGTACCCATTATTCCTCTTAATTTTATCAACATTCATTTTAAGAATATTCTCTTCCTTTCTTTCCTGTCCCCAACCACCTTCCCTCCTTCTCTTCATAGCACCAGGCTCTTAGAGACAAATTTGAAAGTGTTACTAAGCACAGACTGTGTTTTGAGATTTTAAAGCAGTAATAGCTTTTTATAAATTGAACCTTTGGAAAGAATAAGAAAATGAACATATTTATTACTTTGAATTTGTAAAACAAAGCATAATCATACAAAGTTGCTTTCATCAGTTTCTTAACATTGTTCACAAATAAAGTACTTTGGATAATTGATTAAATTATTGATTATAGTTAATGGAGAATATATAAAATACAAAACCATTTCCTAATATATTTAAAAGATTAAAAAACATTTTACTGGCTAAGGAACTAAATACTTAAAATTGACCCTAAACAAGAATTTTAAATAAGCTAAACATTTTTTTTTCACTTTAACAGCATTTGAAACACCCTCATATAAAATGTTTTTCTGATTTACTAATGGGATGTGCAACAAAATATTTGAGTTTACTTTTTTGCTTTTATTGAATGAATTTAGAGTTTCTCAAGTTTCATTTCTCCTTCTCCACAAATCCTGTATAAAATATGGGAAGAACACAGAGTGTATTTTGACATAGTGACCTTTTATTATATGACTGAGAATTACCAGCCTTAAAAAAGCTTGATTTGGTTATATCCATCTCTAAAGTTCTATTTAAATTACCTGTTTATACTGGAAATTTTGTGCATCGAGTTGGGTGAGATTACATGATGGCGGGGAGGGAGGGGTCCAGATTTATTTATTAATCCTTCAGAAATTGTTGAAGAATTATGAACATTTTCCACCAAATTTGGATTTTTTTTTTCCCTCAGTCACCAGCCAGAACAGGTCCTCAGTAGTTGTGAATTAGGGTGAACAAGAATTTTTACTCGTGGCAGGTACTTATTTACTTAGAAGAGGCCAGTAGTTTGTACCACATTGGAATTTATACCCTGACTAGAAAATACTTAGGGGAGGATAGTGGAGATTTGTTAAAAGCAGAAATTTTCTGTTAATTTTGCCATTAACAACATCTGATTATGTATAAGCTTAGTATCAGATAAAAGTTAGACCTAAACAACTCAGGATATTTCCCCTAAGCTATCTCCTCACCCTCCTTGTCCTCCAAAGCTCCTACTTGTCCTCTGTAATAAGAGCTTGAATGACAATTTGAATGGCTGGTGAGACATGTTACGACCTTTAGCCAATACTATTATTGACTGAATCCAAGGTAACCTTGGATTCAGAAGGGAAGTGTCTCTCTTTTTTATTTATTTATTTTTTATTTTTTCCCTTATTTAATGGAAAATGGGAATTGATTGTTGATGAGGTTGCTGAATATTAACAAGAAAAAAGCAGTGTACATTAAGAAAATAATTAGAACTAGCTCTTGCTCTCTTATAAAAACCAAATGATGAAAAAAAGGTTGGAAAATGGTGAGGTGAAGCCTTCCCTTTTCCAAAATTCATTAAAGTGGCTAAAGAAATGCAGACAAATAGACAAATATAGCAACATTAGAAAACAAGAAACAGTGCCACCAAAAGAGCAGCAATTTATAGGTATTTTTGGAAAATAGGAGATGGGTAGGGGATTAGTAGGTGTTCATAAGTGACAGTATAATCAAACCACATAAGGTAAGTGAAAAACATGGCAGTCTCACCAGTTCTGAGTAGTGGGGGGTGTGGTAACAAAGGTTATCCCTTAAGGTTGTTGGAGAGAAATTGAGGTTGGGTGGAGCAGGAGAAGAATTAAGAATGGACAGACTAGAGTTTGTTTCTCATTAGTTATTTCGCTTAAGTTAAGGAAAGTAGAACAATATGATACTGCATGGTGGCCTCTATCCAAACTAGGTGCTATGATTCTTAACCCTTATTCAAAAGAGAATCTACCCTAGAGCTTTTAAACATACAGATGCCTAAAGCCAGAATCTGGAGGGTAGAACTGAGCACTGGCTTTCATAAGTTCTCTTGGTAAAATAATGTACAGCTGGGGTTAAGAACCATTTTGGGGGAGTAACACTGTAGTTTGGCTTCCCAAACTAGTAGTAGTAGTGGCTGGTATTACTCTGAGTGGGTTATAGATAGTGTAATCATAATCCATTATCCAAGCTGGAAGGTTTTTGAAAAAGCTGTAACTGGTAGTCCTACCTGAACAACAAACAACCTGGAGCATATGGTGACTCTAGTTATAAGTGTGCTTAGGTATGCCTTTCACCTCTCTGTATTTAAGCTGTTGCCTGGAAGAGCCCAAGTTGCATAGGAGCTGCTTCTGTTTACTCCAGTGTTCCTTGTGAATATTACCATTTTTTTGTATGCCATGATGTGAAAAAGATTGATAAATACTATTTCTAGCTAACCCCAGGCTACTTTTAACACCTGTAGTAAGATGTAAATTTCTTGTGAAAGCGCACCTCTGCTGGTCTTGAATCCCCAAATTAAAACATACTTGCTTTCTGTTTAAGTCCATATGGAGCATTCTTCAGGCTAGACAATATGTTAGGTCATAAAAGAAACCTCATGATTAAAATCATGCAAAATCACAATGAAAAAATGAGGAAATTTGGGAAATACATAAATATGTGGAATTTAGACATCCGTTCCTAAATAACCAAAGTGTGGAAAATAAATCACAAGTGAAATAGAAAATACATTGGGATAAATGAAAATGAAGATAACCTATTGTAATGGGATAATAAAGCAATGCTTTAGAGAGAGAATATGTACAGTTTCTACTGCCTACATTATAGATCACAAAGCAACAGCCTAACCTTTCACCTTAAGACTGGAAAAAGAGCAAACTAAGCTCAAAGCAAGTGGATGGAATGAAATAAGATTTAGAGCAGAAGTTAAAATAGATAATAAAACAATAGAGAAAAATCAGTGAATCCAAAAGGTGGTTATTTAAACTAATCAAAATTGACAAACTTTGCTGGATCGGCCTATGAAAAAAGATCGAAAATACTAGATTCTGAAATGAAAGGGAATTTTACTGATTGTACAAAAGTAAAAATTACAAAGATGCTATGAGCAATTTTATGCCAACAAATGAAATGGACAAATTTCTAGAAAGACAAACCATAAGGTAATAGTATAGCTGGTAATTCAGAAGGAAGTGAAGGTGTTTTTCTAAAACTGGTTGAGATAAGAATTTTAAGTGTCTTAAAGTTACTCAGCAGTGGAGGAACTAAAATTACAAAATTGGGGGAAAGGAGTAATGTTACTGTGATTAAAATATTCATCTTTTCCTTATATGTAAATAAAAGGTACAATTTAGAGCTATAATCAAAAGGTTATAAGTGGAGTGGCTAGCCGGAGGGTTGGAAACGGGGAGGGCAGGGCAGGAAGTGAGACTTATTTCTCCTATCCTTCTGATGTTTTCATTTCTATATGTTAAATAATTTTTAAAAATATTTTATTTGAGGAGAGGGTGAGCAAGCATGAGCAGCATGGGGGGATGGGTGGGGGAGGGCAGAAGAAGAGGGAGAAGCGGACTCCCCACTGAGCAGGGAACCTGATGGGACTCCACCCCAGGACCCTGAGATCACGATCTGAGCCAAAGGCAGACACTTATCCGACTGAGCCACCCAGGCGCCCCTTAAGTAATTTTTAAGTGCAGAACTGAAATATGTGCAGATATTTTGAGGAAAGGAAAAAAACGGTATGAACAAGACCTCATATTCCTAGAGCTTTTAAGAGGTTGGCCAGGATTCAGACATTATTCTGACTCTTAACCAATATATTGTCTGTCTTCTGAGTGCTTACTGTTACAGGTATTATAAGCACTCTGTATGAGCGTACTTAGTATTTAATACAACCTGATGAAGTAGATACTACCATTTTATTCATTTTTTGCAATGAGAAAAGCTGAGTTACCAGATGTTGAGTAACTTTCTTAAGTGACAGAGCCACAATACAAATCTAGATAGTAGAACTCCAAAGCCCTCACTCTTAGTTACCCTATCATTTTGAAATCTGAACAACAAAATTTCAAGAAACCAATAGTTTATTTTTATTTTCTTTAAGATTTTATTTATTTATTTATTTATTTATTTATTTATTTATTTATTTATTTACGAGAGACACACACAGAGAGAGAGGCAGAGACACATAGGCAGAGGGAGAAGCAGGCTCCATGCAGGGAGCCTGACGTGGGACTCGATCCTGGGTCTCCAGGATCACGCCCTGGGCGGAAGGCAGTGCTAAACCGCTGAGCCACCCAGACTGCTCCAATAATTAGTTTAAATAAAACTATAATATTTCAAATAACAAGTATGCTTGTCTGTTATTCCAAAACTCACTTTTAGTATTTTTTTACCCTGAAGGAATCTACAATTTTCAACTTTTACCATATGAATATGTTTCTCTTTGGCATCACCCCAACTATGATACTCAAGTCTGTCTGCATGTGCCCTTAGGACTGATTCTTTAAAATGGTGGCAGGAAAAGAAAGGTGGTGAATTTAGGGAATAGATAGGAGAATGGTGTGGTTGGAGTGCCCTAGATAACCTGGAGAGTATGAGGCATGGTCAGTGGTAGGGAGGTCAAAGATCTGAGATCCTGACAGTTGATTAACTATCAGACGATATAGGAGGAGTTCATATTTGAGGGAATGTTCATATTTTAAGTTGCACTTTTGAAATTTAAATTTCAAAATTAAAATTTTTTTTTGGTTGGTGCATTTTAAGTTTTACTGAGATATAGTCGACATATATGATTTAAAGCATACAACTGAAGTTTTTATTTAGAATATTTACAGAATTATGCAACTATCAATCTAGTTTTAGAATCCTTTTTTTTTTTTTAAAGATTTTATCTATTCATGAGAGACACAGAGAGAGGCAGAAATATAGGCAGAGGGAGAAGTTGGCTCCTTGCAAGGGAGCCTGATGCGGAACTCAATCCTAGGACCCTGGGATCATGATCTGAGCCAAAGATGGACGCTCAACCACTGAGCCACCCAGGCACCCAAGTTTTAGAATGTTTTCATCATTCATGTAAGAAACCCTGTCTATCCCCCACCCTCAGCCCTAGGCTAACCGTTAATTTACATTGTGTTTTTGTCTATACTGGACATTTCATATAAATGAAATCATGCAGTATGTGTGATTTCATTCAGTGTGGTATTTTCAAGATTCATCCATGTTTTGACTTGTATAAATACTTCATTCCTATGGCCAAATAATATTCCATTGTACAGAAATACCACTTGTATTCATTTATCAATTGACAAACATTTAGACCATTACAAGTAACACTTTGG